AAAAGGAAGACAGACATACAATGGTGGGGAAGGGAAGCTTAAAATTTAGAGAGAGTGGCCAAGTCCTCACTGAGGTGATTTCTTCAGGAAGACTGAGGAAGCACCACATGCAAAGGCCTCAAAGCCCAAGGCCTGGTGGGTTTGAAAAACAGCAATGAGGCCAGTGTGGCTGGAGTTGAGTAAACAAGGGGGAGAAAAGTAGATGCCAGGGAAGTGACTGGGATCAATTATGTAGGACCTAGTGGACCATTTTAAGGAATTCATGGTTCACATTCTGAATGAAATGAGCACCTATTAGGTTTAAGCAGGGAAATGACATGATCTGAGATGTATATTTAAACTTAAGCTTTAAGAAGATCACAAGTGAGAATAGACTATATGGAGGAGAGGGCAAACAAGGGAAACCAGTTAGGAAGCTGTTAAAATAAGCCAGCTGAGAGAGATCATTTGGACCAGGGTAGTAGAAGTGAGCGTGATACAAAGTAGTTAAATTCAATGTTTGTGAGGGTAAAGCTGACAGGATTTTCTGATGGATCGAATGTGGGGTGTGAGAGAGTCAGGCGTGAAGGTTATACCATAGTACTTAGCCTGCCCAGTTGGAAAACAGAGTTGTCATTAAGTGAGATGGGAAGACTGAAGGAACAGCTGATTTGGGAGGCAATGCCAGGAGCCTAGTTGTATCATTATACCTTTTATTTGTCCAAATGGAGAAGTAAGCAGCTGGATATATGTGTTTGGAAGTCAAGGGAAATATCCTGGCTAGAGATACATATTTCAGGGTCATTGGCTATTAGATGGAATTTAAATTCCACCATGTGAATGGATGAGACCACCTAGGGAATGAAAATACACAGAAGTGTCCAAGGACTGAGCCCTGATACACTCTAGCATTTAGTGGAAAGGAAAATAGAGAACCAGAAAGAGACTGAGAAAGAGTGGTCAGAAAGATTGAGAGCAGGGGCAGGGACCAGATAAGTAAGGTATCATGGAAGCCAAAAGGAGAGTATATTTCAAAGGGCAGTGTGACTAGCTGTGTCAAATGCTGCTGATTGGCCAACAGGATGAGGCCTGGGAGATCACCATGGATTTAGCAGTGTAGAGGTCATTGGTGGTCTTAAGCAAGTGAGACTCTGTCTCAAAAAAAAAAACAAAAAAAAAAACCCAGAGACTGCATGTTGGTGTTCCATAAATACTTCATCATTTTATTATTATTATTATTATTATTATTATTATTATTATTATTATTATTATTTTGAGACAGAGTCTCACTCTCTTGCCCGGGCTATAGTGCCGTGGTGTCAGCCTAGCTCACAGCAACCTCAAACTCCTGGGCTCATGCAATCCTCCTGCCTCAGCCTCCCGACTAGCTGGGACTACAGGTATGCACCACCATGCCCAGCTATTTTTTCTATATATTTTTAGTTGGCCAATTAATTTAGTTTTATTTTTAGTAGAGACGGGGTCTCGCTTTTGCTCAGGCTGGTTTTGAATTCCTGACCTTGAGCAGTACTCCTGCTTCGGCTTCCCAGAGTGCTAGGATTACAGGTGTGAGCCACCGCACCAGGCCCATTTTATTATTTTTAATTAAAAAAATTTTTTTAGAGATAGGGTCTCACTCTGTCACCCAGGCTGCAGTAGAGTAGAGCAATCTTAACTCAGTGCAGCCTTGAACTCCCAGGGTCAAATGATCCTCCTCTCTCAGCCTCTTGGTGGCTGGGACTACAGGTATGTGCCATCATACCCAGCTAAATTTTTCTTATTTTTTTGTAGAGATGGGGTCTCGATATTTTGCTTAGGCTGGTCTCAAACTCCTGGCCTCAAGCAATCCTCCCACCTCAGCCTCCCAAAGTGCTGGGATTACAGGCATGAGCCATTATGCCCAGCTCATGTTATCATTTTTAATGTATTTCATAGTCACATGAGTCTGGGAAATACTAATGGGCATAAAGCTCTCCAGCACCTGGAGAATCCCTAGATATAAGGCATTTTGTCAGAATGATCTTTAAAAAGGTATAAATCAGATAAAATTATTCCCTTGCTCTAATGACTTCCTATTTGCACCTGAAATGAAACCCCAACTCATTGAAATATTAGGCATCCTCAGAGCTTAATCTTAAATCCTCTTTTCTTTCTCTACATTCTTTCCCCAGATGATGTCTCAGTATTCATGGATTTAAATGCCATCTTTAGACTTGATGACTTCCAAATTTATATCTCTAGCTCAGACTGCTCCACACTCACACATCCTGTTGCTTACTTAATATCCTCACTTGAGTGTGACATGATAGAAATGTAACAAGGAGAACAAAATTGCTTTTTCCCCCAAAAGTGTTCATATGCCACCCCTGGTCTTAACTGGCCAGAAACTTGATTCCTTTCTTTCCTGACTGTACCCACACCACCCCAATGCCTCCACTTCTAATCAAAATCTATTAACAAGTCCTGGTGATTTTTTTTTTTTTTTTTTTTTGAGATAGGGTCTCCTTCTCTTGCCCAGGCTAGAATGCAGTGGCACAATCATAGTTCACTGTGACCTCAAACTCCTGGGTTTAAGCGATCCTCCTGCCTCAGCCTCCCAAGGGGCTAGGGTTATAGATATGTGCCACCTGCCTGGTTAATTTTTAAATTTTTTGTAGAGACAGCATCTCAAGTTGTTGCCCAGGCTGGTCTCAAACTCCTAGACTCAAGCGATCCTCCCACCTTAGCCTCTCAAGGTGCTGGGATTACAGGCATGAGCCACTGCGCCAAGCCAAGTCCTGGTGATTATTATCTCCAGACCATATCTGAATTCTGCCCTCTTCTTTCTGTTTCCACCAGCATCACCTTAGTCCAGGCATCATCATCTCTGTCCTCAGCTATAGTAATAGTCTCCCAATTAGTTTCTCTACTTCCACCCTTTTTCCCCTCAATCCATTCTCCACATCCAGGCTAATGTAATATTAAAACAGATCAGATTATATCATATCTCTGATAAAATTTTTTCAGTGCCTTTCTACTGAGAATAAAATGCAAATGAAATGCAAATAAAATGCAAGTCTCTTCCAATAGCCTACCACACCAACTGTCTCTACCTCATCTCCAATTTCATGTCACATTACTTTCTCCCTTACCCACTATGCTCCAGCCATGCTGTTCCACTTTCAGTTCCTCAGTTATGCTATGTTCTTTCCCATCTCTGAGAGCCTTAGAATATACTGTTCCTTCCACCAGGAACCTTCTTGCCTCACTCTTTACATGACCAGCGCTTTCCCTTCCCAAGAAGTCAACTCAAATGTCACCTTCTTAGAAAAGCCTTTTTTTTTTTTTAACTCTCCTAAATTCAACCTTGAAGAAAAGCCTTTCTGACCACTCTACCCCAAAGAGGCCCTTTCTGTTATTCACTATCTCAACTCCTTGTTTATTTTCTTTAACAGTATAATATTTTTACAGCTTGCAATAATCTTATTTATAGGGTTTTTTGTTTTTTAAAAAACTGGTCTCTCCAGAGGATTCAAGCAACAACAACAAAAAAAACTGGTCTCTTCCACTCTAAGTTTCATTGCAGGTTTGTCTAGTGCCCCAGTTTCAGTTTCTAGCATCCTGCTGTGCACAAAGTAAACACTCATAAAATATTTGAATAATGATCTCCAATTTGGGAATGGTCTCTTCTGTTTTTGGCACCCAAATGGCCCATTTTGTTGTTTGCTTTTTTTCTGGGTTAAATCTTTTATCTCAACTCACCTGGATCTGAGGTTCTTAGACGAATTTTAGGTTTTCGAAGCAACCAGGATGGGAGACCCCCCTGAGACAAACATAAAGACAACAAAGAAGTATGTAGGTTTTGTTGCTTTGGTGTTAGCCACTTAAGAAGGGAGGCAGTTGAGTATAGTGCTGGAAATGGCCCTAGAATATGGGCAGATGTGAGTAGTCTAGGAACTGTACACAGCTTTTGTTCTGTCCTAGCTAACTCACCATCTCCCACTCTGCACAGATGTAAGGTCCGGGTCTCAGTATGACCAACAGTTTCACTCTAGCTGCCTCTTGCAGAAAAGCAGTGAGGTCCCGGCTGCCATTAAAGTTATAGACCCCAGGCTGTTGTTCATGGTAGTTCCAGGGCACATAACTGAGAAAGGAAGAGGTTAACAGTGCCCAAGGTAGGGAGATGCCAGGAAGGCCTAAGGGTCAGGCCTTGCATGGAATCTCCAGGACACATTTGGGAGGTCATGACCAACCCTTTCCCACCTTGGCCTAGGAACCCTGGAGCTCAAAGCCCTCTTCAAACCGAGCCAATCTTCCTGTCCCGACTCCCTTCCTAAGGGGGCAGTAGGAAGAATAAATTCCACCCTTCCATGGCTCTCGTGAGCACTTCTTACAACTGAACGGCGTTGAGGCCGCTCAATCGCATCTTCAAAAGCCGGTCTGCCCAGAGCACCCGCGGTACCCGGAAGTAGTGCAGGCTGCCAGACACGTAGCGGAAAGGAACGCCGTCCAGGAGGAACCTGTCATTATCCGGATCCACTACGAACGACCGAGTGTCTGCCTGCAAAGGGAAAGCAGCAAAATCTGCAGTGAGGCTCAGCGTCTGCCCAAAGCAGAGGAGATGGAACTAGCCTTCCCGGTTGTTTTGTTGTTGACTGTTGTAGGGTGGGATCTGATCCCACCCTACCTCTCTCAGGCTGCCGGTTCCACCCTTTTATCTTACCTGGGGCAGCAGCAGTGTCAGGAGCGACAGCAGCAAGGAGGGAAAGCAGGGCAGCTTCTCCGGAGCCATGGCGCTTACTGGGCTCCTCTAGTCTGAGACGCCGTCTGACCATCACGTGTTGGATTCCTGGGAGGGAACCTCAGCGAGCAAGGGGGCGGAGACCACCTCAAGTTGCCAGGCGGTTAGCCTGGACTTTGTCTCCAGCCTGCAGCCACCCGCTACTTCATTAGTTTGTAAAATCCTCTACATCTTGCTACTCAAAGTGCAATTCAGGAACCAGCTTCATCAGTGTTACCTGGGAGCTTGTTAGAAATGCAGAATCTCAGATCCTACCTCAGACGTATAGAATCAGAATTTGTATTTTAACAAGATACCCAGGCTATCCTAAGCACATACAAGATTGAGAAGCACTGCTATACTAGACTGAGCTCCCTGAGGGCACGGAGTACCTTGTCCATCTTGAGCACAGGGCCTGGCACATAGCAAATTAAATCTAGGTGAATGAATGTCAGAACCAAGGGGCAAAAACAGGTTCAGAACTAAGGGAAACCATGGGAAAATCTTGATGGTGATTGGGGGTGTGGAAAGGAGAACCAGGTTACAAGACAGAACTTTTTCCTAGAGAGCCCTGTTTCAGCAAAAGAGCCCATCCTGACGATTCTATCTTTTTTGGAAGCGCACCCTTCTACTTATCCCTGCCTGCCGAGACAAGAGATGTCAAGGACAACTGCTTGGTGCCAAGGCTACGGAATTTGTGAACTTTCATTTCTCCTGCCTTCACAGTCTGAAGCTTGCGATATAAAGATTAGGGTAATAATAATTATTACTGTTTATTGACACTTACTGAAGGCTATGTGTCAGATATTGTGCTAAGCACTTTATATCTCATTTAATCTTCAAACAACTCCATGAAGTAGACAATTATCATTCCCATTTTACAGATAAGTAAACTGAAGGAGAGAAACATTAAGTAGCCTGTCCAAGGTAACAGAACTACTTTAGTAGAGCTGGGATTTGAACTAGTCAGTCTGGCCTCATGGTTAATGCATTTAACCTCAGATGCTATGATACCTATTTTACAGCTATGAAAAGTGACGGACAGCCAGGTGAGGTGGCTCACGCCTATAATCCTAGCACTGGGAGGCCGAGGCAGGCGGATCGCTCAAAGTCAGGAGTTCGAAACCAGCCTGAGCTAGACCCCATCTCTACCAAAAATAGAAAGAAATTAATTGACCAACTTAAAAAAAAAATATATATATATATATGCCGGGCATGGTGGTGCGTGCCTGTAGTCCCAGCTACTCGGGAGGCTGAGACAGGAGGATCGATTTAGCCCAGGAGATTGAGGTTGCTGTGAGCTAGACTGATGCCACAGCACTCATTCTAGCCTGGGCAACAAAGTGAGACTCTGTGTCAAAAAAAGAAAAAAAAAAAAAGTGAGGATGAGAGAGGTTAAGTAACTTGCCCAAGTCACACAGCTGCTAGGCTCTTAAGACCAAATTTAGAAACTAGCAGTCTGGTTCAAGAGCCTGAGCTCTTAATCACTGAGACTAGGGGTAGGGGGATACAGGCCAGAGGCCAGAAGATTGTTAGGGATCAGAGCTCCAGGAGTCCAGGCCTCCAGCACCCGCCCCTCCCTGGAACCCCCTCGGGGATGAACTGTAGTCGGCTGCTTTCTGGTCCCAGCGCGCCGGAGGTACGAGGCCTCCTACCTCCGACTTTGGGAGATGGAGGTCCTGGGGGCCTCGGGCCGGCGCCGGCTTTGCTCCCCTTTGGCACAGGTGCCTGCGTCTTGACCCCTACTGAAGGCCAACTAGGGAACCCTCACCCGGGTCCTGGGACCCGTCCTCCCCCAGGCCTAGCCCGCCCCCGGCCTCTCAGCTCCGCGCCCCTGCATCGTCAGGGTGCGCAGCGGTTGCTAGGATACCACGGGCCGTTACGACGGCGCGGACTGATGACGCCAGCACTGCTTCCGGTCTCTGGCGCTTCTCTCCCGCCTGAGCCAGGTCAGTGGGCGGAGGGGGGTGGTCCAGGCTGGGCGACCCGGGGCTCTGCGCGCCGAGGCCAAGGGTAGCCTCTGCAAGGGGTGGGCGGCACCTCCTCTGAAACCATGCCCTGCCTTTGTGGCCCGATGGGCGTGGGCGCGGGGGCTGCCCAAAGGTGAGCTGGAGTTGGAGGAAGTGGCCTGGTAGTCACTGCGTGTCCAGAGGCTTTCTGGCACCTGACCCAGCCTTGTTGGAATTGGCATCGCCAGGGCCAGTTTTCTCTAGACGGGAATATAGGTTTCAAGACCTGGGCCTGAGCTGTCCGCCTTGGTACTTCAGGGATCATGTGCATCGTGCCAGACTTGCGACCCCGCCATTGTTTTCCTTCCAGCATGCTCTGCTGGGCCTCCAGCGTATCACCTGGAAGAGCCCACTCACCCTGGACAAACCCATTGGCAGCCTCAGACCACCTTTGAGGAGGATGACTGAGACATTATGGGCCACGCGCTGTGTGTCTGCTCTCGGGGAACTGTCATCATTGACAATAAGCGCTACCTCTTTATCCAGAAACTGGGGGAGGGGTGAGTGTTGAGAAATCGCTTAGCCAGTCCCCAGGGTTATGGTCACTAAGGGACAGAGCTGTCTGCACGTGTTTCAGGTAGAAAGATTTTATCCCTGTTCTCTAACTCACCTGACAGACAGCTGCATGGTAGTCAAGAAGGTGGATTCCAGGCCTCCTAGATCCACCTTATGGGACCTTGATAAGCTACTGTTTTTTCATCTGCCTAATGGAGATGATTGTCATCCCCCAGTAATGGAGTTGTGAGAATTAAATGAGATAATGTATATAAAATGTCTCACCCAGTGCCTGGTTTATAAGCACTTAATAAATGTTGGCTATTATTCATTTAATCATCTGTCATATGCAGAGCACTGTTTTATGACCATAGGACCTCAAGAATTTGTATGTCCCTACTCTTGAGGAGCTCAAAGTATAATAATCTTCAGACTTCTATTAGAGCCACATCTCAGGAGGGTTTCTACTAAATGGGAGTGACAGCACCTCCCTCCTAGGGAATTCCTCTGGGTCCAAGCTGTGTGGGTGATGACCATGGTCCTTCACTGACCCCTTTGGCCCACAGTGGGTTCAGCTATGTGGACCTAGTGGAGGGGTTACATGATGGACACTTCTACGCCCTGAAGCGAATCCTGTGTCACGAGCAGCAGGACCGCGAGGAGGCCCAGCGAGAAGCAGACATGCATCGCCTCTTCCATCACCCCAACATCCTTCGCCTTGTGGCTTACTGTCTGAGGGAGCGGGGTGCTAAACATGAGGCCTGGCTGCTGCTACCTTTCTTCAAGGTCAGAAAGACCCCTGGTTATGGAGGGGGTTGCAACAGAGCCACCTACCAAGGGCTGTGTGAGCAATCAAGCATGTTAGGAAGCAGAGGCCATGTCCTGGGTTTGGCCACATCAGATTTGGGGTTCGAGGTGTGTGTGGTGAAAGGGTTGATAGGCTTCCACAAGGGAAGGGTTCAGGCTCAGGGAGCAGAGGCTCCAAAAACATGGCTACAACTGTGGGGAAACTTTTGTTGCAGAGAGGTACGCTATGGAACGAGATAGAAAGGCTGAAGGACAAAGGCAACTTCTTGACCGAGGACCAAATCCTTCAGCTGCTGTTGGGTATCTGCAGAGGCCTTGAGGCCATTCATGCCAAGGGTTATGCCCACAGGTCAGTGGGATAGGCCTGTGTATTTGCTAGGGTGGAGAGGAAGAGCCTAACCAAGAAAAATGGGAGATCTCTGCTCTCCTCCCAGGAAACAGCCCTGCATGATTCTTTTGCTTCCTGGGATTTCAGCCTTCCTGTCCTGGGTTGCTCATGGGTCATTTCCACTTCTCTACAGGGACCTGAAGCCCACCAATATCTTGCTTGGAGATGAGGGGCAGCCAGTTTTAATGGACTTGGGTTCTATGAATCAAGCCTGCATCCATGTGGAGGGCTCCCGCCAGGCCCTGACCCTACAGGTAAGAGAATCTCTGGGTTCCTTTGCCCACCTGTTCACCCCAAACCCCTTCTGGTGCATGCCCCAATTTGGTCACATGACTGTGGCTTGTGCTCCACTTTTGAGCTCTGGGGCCACTGTTCCAGGACTGGGCGGCCCAGCGGTGCACCATCTCCTACCGAGCCCCAGAGCTCTTCTCTGTGCAGAGTCACTGTGTCATCGATGAGCGGACTGATGTCTGGGTGAGGAGCATGTGGGTGGGAATCTGGGTGGAGAGGGTGTGTGGCTCTTTACCTACTGTGGAGTAGAGAAATAGGTCTTTGGTTTCTGTTTCATGGGGCCCCAGGAACCATGATATGTCCCCAACTTCCTTGACTTCCTTCCTGGGAACTGTCACTGATACCATACTCAGTTGTACAGGAAGTGGTATAATCCCTTCCCCCGAACAGGGTGGGTACAGCTCAGTGTCAGTGCTGAAGGCAGTGGTTAAGCAAGGGCTACAGAGGCCTCCAGCTTACTGGCAGTTTCTCTGGGTCCTGATGGTGCCGTGTGACTGAGGTTGGCATATTCTTTTTAGCTTATGTAGTCTCCTTTCACCACAGCAATAAGGGGAACAATGTCACCTCCATTGGTCCCCTTCCAGGGATTAACCAAGTTATGCTCAGTCCCTAGGCTGCGTGCTATATGCCATGATGTTTGGGGAAGGCCCTTATGACATGGTGTTCCAGAAGGGTGACAGTGTGGCTCTTGCTGTACAGAACCAACTCAGCATCCCGCAAAGCCCCAGGTAAGCAGTACAAGGGACACTGAGCATTTCAGACCCCCCCTGGATTAGCTGAGTTGGTACCTTGGCAGGGGGCATAGTGTCCTCCAGTCACCCTGCCCTCCTCCCTCTGCAGGCATTCTTCAGCAGTACGGCAGCTGCTGGCATCGATGATGACTGTGGACCCCCAGCAGCGCCCTCACATTCCTGCCCTCCTCAGCCAATTGGAGGCACTGCAGCCTCCAGTTCCTGGCCAGCACACTACCCAAATCTGAACAAACCAGTGGCCGCATTGAGAAGGTGGCCTCTTGTGCCTTGGAAAGAGGTACCCAGCCCTCGTTGGAAGGTCCATCCATTCTATCCAGGACTGCTGTCTAACAGATGGGGGCACTAGGTGGGGACCTCTTTGCCTTCTGACCCCCAAGAGCAACACGTGGGTAAGGGGCCTGACTGAGTAGGGGAGGGGTGGGGGTTGGGAAAAGGGAAACTGACAGAATATGGTCCATGGCTCTGAGCAGGACTGCTGAGCTCATATCATGTTCTGCCTCCAAATCCAGGAGCAGGAGAATGTGTAAACAAGAATAAAGTGAAAGCAGGTTGGTGTGATCTTAGTCTCAATGTTTCTGGAATGAGAGAAAAGGTGCAAAGGTCCCAAAGTCCGGCTACCATGTCCAAGGGGACACCTGGTATAGAGTTGGCAGTGGTGTGACTTCGTCATTCCATGTAAGGAGGCTGGTTCCTTACCTTAGATCTGGCTGGGTGGCAGTGGGCAAGTGTTCTAGCTTGACTTAGTCAAAAACTTAAAGCTGCTCTGGCTTGAGCTGGCTTCTCTGTGCCAAGGACTGGAACCAGGGCCCCCTAAAAGCACACTCAAATAGTTCTTTCCTTCCTTCACTCCCAGGGGTGGGTAGCTTAGTCAAAGCAACCCAGCCGGTTTGCTAGGCTAGGGCTTCTGGGTGGAGACACCTGAAGAGGCTTTGGAATAGCTACATTAACAGGTCTCCCATCCTTAGCCTGGGGGCAAGGGGAGTGGAGGTGGCGGCCATTTTGGCCCCAGTCTCCCTGATGGTTCTAGCTCATACATGGTTAATGATTAATGAGGCAGTGTGGTGTGCTGACTCCAGCTGCCACTTCCTGCCTGCTCTGCTGAATAAACGGGTCCTGCTGTGGCTGGGCTTGAAACCTGTTCCCCAAGGAAGGGCACTGTGTCCCTGAATCACCAGGGAGGGTAGGCAAGGGCAGGGTTGGCGTCTCCTACTCTTGAGATTGAAGCTTCCTCCCCCCAACCATTCCCACCTCACAAGCTGACATCAGCATGGGTCCTGGGGTGCCTATTAGCAAAGCTGAAATTTTCCCCAGGGCCCTGGCAGGAGGCTCCCACCAGCTAGCACAGAGGCAGAGGCCAGAAAGAAAGCACAAACAGAAGGAGATGACCTGACTTTTAATGGCACAGCCCCAGCCCCAGCAAAGCAGCAAGACAGACAGGAAGCTATGCAAAGCTGCTGGGAGGTGCAGTGGCACAAACAACATAGGAGATTGCCCTTGTTCCCTCCCATCCCCCAAGCTTATGACGTGGCTTTATGCCCAGGAACTCTGGGCCAGCCCAGCCTCATTTCCAAATCCTCATAACGCACAAAGGAGCCTGGGCCAAGCCTTGCTTCCAGAGTTGGTGAATGCAGAGGCAATAGGAGGAATAGGGTAGTAGTCCAGCTTTCAAATACAGAAGCTACTGGACTTAAACTCCTGCTTGGAAAAGACGTGAAGACTCATATCCTTCAATAGTTGCTGGCTGGACAGATAGGTCCAGGATTTGGTCTTCATTTCCTCCCTATCCCGGGTGCCCCTGTGACCTTACATCAAGGTCCTGGGGTCATGCTTCCTGGGCCTGGCAAGGGCCCCTTGGCAAGTCTCCTCTTTAGCCAGGGAAGGGAAAAAAGTCATGAGCAGCAAACAGTGAGGGCAGCAGCAGCAGCACAAAGGGGAAGGCAGCAGAAGCTCAAGCACTCACAGAAGTGACAAGAAACCGTGCAAGGAGACTGTTTATTTCGAAAGGCTTTTGCAATAAACATAGTAGAGAGTCTCCAGGCAGCTGTTTTATTCTTCTCCCTCATCCTCATCCTCATAGGAGTCGATGCCCACTTCCTCGTAATCCTTCTCCAGGGCAGCCATATCCTCCCGGGCCTCGGAGAACTCCCCCTCCTCCATGCCCTCACCCACGTACCAGTGCACAAACGCCCTCTTGGCATACATCAGGTCGAACTTGTGGTCCAGGCGGGCCCAGGCCTCAGCGATGGCAGTGGTGTTGCTCAGCATGCACACGGCACGCTGCACCTTGGCCAGGTCACCCCCAGGCACCACAGTAGGCGGCTGGTAGTTGATACCAACCTTGAAGCCTGTGGGGCACCAGTCCACAAACTGAATGCTGCGCTTGGTCTTGATGGCGGCGATGGCGGCGTTGACATCCTTGGGCACCACATCTCCACGGTACAGCAGGCAGCAGGCCATGTACTTGCCGTGCCGAGGGTCACACTTCACCATCTGGTTGGCAGGCTCAAAGCAGGCATTGGTGATCTCTGCCACCGACAGCTGCTCATGGTACGCCTTCTCTGCAGAGATGACGGGCGCATAGGTGGCCAGGGGGAAGTGGATGCGAGGGTAGGGCACCAGGTTGGTCTGGAACTCTGTCAGGTCCACGTTGAGGGCCCCATCGAAGCGCAGGGATGCTGTGATGGAGGACACGATCTGGCTGATGAGGCGGTTGAGGTTGGTGTAGGTTGGACGCTCGATGTCCAGGTTGCGGCGGCAGATGTCATAGATGGCCTCGTTGTCCACCATGAAGGCACAGTCTGAGTGCTCCAGAGTGGTGTGGGTGGTCAGGATGGAGTTGTAGGGCTCAACCACGGCTGTGGAGACCTGGGGGGCTGGGTAGATGGAGAACTCCAGCTTGGATTTCTTGCCATAGTCAACAGAGAGCCGCTCCATGAGGAGTGAGGTGAAGCCAGAGCCAGTGCCCCCTCCAAAGCTGTGGAACACCAGGAAGCCCTGAAGTCCTGTGCACTGGTCAGACTGAAAGGCAAGAAAGAAAAAGAGCAATTTAGACAGGGGAGGGAGCCAAGGGACTCTTATCACCTGGCTCCAAATAAAGCCTAAAATATCTCAGAAGTCAGGGCAAAGACTCTGGAGCATGTACAGTTAGGGATGACCCCTTGAAATGGATCTGAAAAAATTGTCCTGACCATTAGCATAGTCTCAAGAGCTCCCTCCCTTCCAAGACAAATTCTTACCAACTTGCGGATCCGGTCCAGTACTGGGTCAATGATCTCCTTGCCAATGGTATAGTGACCGCGGGCATAGTTGTTAGCAGCATCCTCTTTCCCAGTGATGAGCTGCTCTGGGTGGAAGAGCTGTCGGTATGGGCCATTTCGGATCTCATCTGGAAGGGCATAAACCACACTGTTAGGGCAAAAACCACAAGGCTGTGCTTAGCAGGGACCTTCCTCCCCCAGGGTGGTAGCTGTGGCCAGATGCATGGAAGAGCTCATCCTTCTGCCAGCCTGAGATAGCAGAGTGTGTGAGAAACCCGGACCTGCTGCCCAGGCCAGCCTGAGATCAGCTTGCCTTCTTCAGCTTCACATAGGGCTAGGAGTTTTCAGGGCCAAGAAAGCCTGTTCTAAATACCTTCTTTCCAGAGAGAAACTTTGAGTCACTCTCTAGCCCCCTTAACTTTGCCCCCTCTTCCTCTCACCAATCACAGTAGGCTCCAGATCCACAAAAACTGCTCGGGGCACATGTTTTCCAGCACCAGTTTCACAGAAGAAGGTGGTAAAGGAGTCATCCCCTCCACCAATGGTCTTGTCACTGGGCATCTGCCCATCAGGCTGAATCCCATGTTCCAGACAGTAGAGCTCCCAGCAGGCATTGCCCATCTGGACACCTGCCTGCCCCACGTGCACTGAGATGCATTCACGCTGTGGGATAAAGAGGAGACATGGGGTAAGCCTCACGTGCACAAGTCCTTCTCACCTCACCAGCCTCTTTTCCACCCTCTCACCTACCAGCTGGGATGACTCAGTTAGCAAGAGTGGAGCTTGGGGCTGGGCAGTGATGAGAAGAGGCTAGCACCCTGCCCAGGCTCCCCTGCACAGGACGCCCCAGCTGGAGGCACCCAGTAGGGCAAGCCAACCCCTTAACCTACTTCTCAGGTAATTTGTCAAGTGAGTGCTGTGGCTCCACATGACCCTGCCACACTCAAGGAGGACAGAGAGGGCGAGTGTATAAGAGACAGGCAGAACTGCAGTAACTGACAAGGATAAGAGACTTTTCAGCTATTCCTGATCCCTACTGCCCATAAACCCAGCTTCTCAAGAGCCAGGGTAGAGGCAGAAGGTTTTCCAGAGCTGCGAGTCTACAACTAGAGTTCAGAGCTGCCCCCCCCCCACACACACACTTGATTAATTCTTAGCTTTTAAGATGAACAGCTAGAATTTCACACAACCCTTTCCCCTCGTTTTTTCCTGCGGGCTGCAGAGGTGTCTTGGCCTTCCAATCTGGCATCAACTGACCACACTGGCCATGAGGATGCCCTCTTCCCTCACCTTTAAATCCTATCTGGCTCTGGAGATCAGTCCCATCTGGCTCCTCTCCCCACCTCCACCCCCGCACCCTGGGAGTCTTCACCACCTTCACCCACCGCACGGAAATAGCAGCGGTAACGCTGGTAAGCGCAGACGGCAGGGGCGGGCAATAAGGGTTGTGGGTACTGGGGCACTCGCGGCCTTAGGCTCCGTCCCTGCCAGTCCGAAATTAACCCCTGAAGCACCGGAGTCCGCTGGGCCCGTGCCGGCCTCCCTCCCCACACCTACAGGGCGGGGTGACGGTTTCCAAATACCCAGAAAAGGAAGCGGAACCTGCGGCGAGGCCCCACTGGTAACCCGCCTTGCCCGGGGCAGGGTGAGCGCCATCCTGCACCCCAGCCCTCCATCCGCTCTCCCGCTGAAGTCTTTCCAGTTACATCCCAGCCGACAGAGGGGATTGGGTTTCGGCCTCCGCTCCTGGGCTATAAATACCACCCCCCTACACACACCTCTGTCCCCTCCCCCCAACCTGGCCTGGGCCCGCGCTGCCGCCCGGCGCCAGCTGTCTCTGCCCGTCCGCGCACTCGCCCTCTGGCTGGAGAGGGGCCAGCTCGTCTTACGAGGCCGAACCCCATTCCCGCCACCCCTGTAGGCTCAGAAGCGGGGTGCTGAGTCACTGGCGCGGGCGGCAGATGAGGGTAAAAGGGATGCATACTGAGAGAAGAAGGGGATACAAGTAACCTGACCCCTTTCCCCCTTCTTGTGCCAAGCACGTGCTCAGTCAGTTCCGGGGACTTGGGAGTAGGGCTGGGGGGCAGCCAAGCAGGTCTCCCTTCGCCCGCTCAAAGGACTGGGCGCGGGACCGCGTGACTCCTCAGGAGGGTCGGGGCGCAAATGCTTGGTGAGGCAGGAGGGGACCGCCAAGAAGCTCCTCTCTGCTGGTGAAAAATCCCACCCCACCCCATCCCCAGCCTCCGAAGGTGGACAACACGCCCCGGACAAAGTCACCAGGAGGGAATGGGAAGGGGAGAT